CCCCTCAGCAGTGTGTTTCAGTACATCTGCCTGTTCTGCTCCCCACTCTGTCTCTGGTGAATCTGCTCACCCCACCCCCTGCATCTCTGGCCTGCACCCCTGCTCTTGTATGCATAAATAAATAAATCCTTAAAAAAAAAATTAGAACTCAGCCTTCTTTTATCATCACCATGCAGTGCCAATTCTAAACAATGCCATGGATGAAAAAAATCCTTTGTTGGTCTAAATCCTAAAGAATCGTAGTTACTGTGAAACTTTAATAATATACGTGGGAGTGCCAAATCAGCACATTTTTACTACTTATTGCATTCTGCATGAAGTTAATTCAGAGAATTCTCACACAGTTGGCTCCAATGCAACTTAACTACGTGCATTTGTTTGGGTGGTAAATTTCTTAAATGGTCCGTAACTATACGAACTTGCTTACAGTACACCACAATTCTTAGAATCCTTCTCAATACTCTTAGTGTTCCTGGTGTATACAAAAGATTTAAAATAAACAATCACAGTGACTGTAAAAATAAAGAAACAAAACTTGAGTCACTTCTGCCTTCTATGGGACAACTTGGAGTTTTTTGTGCCTGCACTTAGTGAAACTGAAATGAGAGGTGTAGTAGGTGTAAATGTTCATTCACACATGAAATACTTTACCAAATTTGAATAATATTTTTAATATTGAAATGCATTCTTCTTAAACTATTATTTGTTTTAAAACTAAAGAATGAATTGAGAAAATTCAGTGGTATGATTTGGTCGTGGTCCTGCTTGTGTCTTTTGCAGGTCTCAGTTTCATGAAATTCACAGATCACATATAAAATATTCTGTCAAACTATAACCAAAAGACCAAAATTCAAACTATTAGGTAGCTATAAACACTGAGTAAACAGCTCACCTTTTTTGTTCTATGGAAACCTGGGAAGTTACTAACACAAATAATTAGTTCATTAATATAAAATTATTGAAATGTGAAGTGTGGTACACATACCTACGCGAAATGACATCAACACAGTGGAACTCAACAATAACAAAAATTCTCTAATGACGGGGTAGAGGGAAAAGCTATGAGCTTCACTGCATATTTATTACTGAAAGTAATTCTGTAGTAAAAAGAAGGGAGGTATTACAAAATGACCCGTTCAGGAAGCCAAATACCCTGGCTATCAAGTAGCAAGAAAGTGGTAAAGCTGCAGGACCCAGGAGGAGGCCAAGTCTTCCTTCAAGAGCTCAAGAAACCAGTGTGGGATCACAGCGAGAATGAAGTGAACGCAAGGGACATGTGGAAAAAAATGCCAGTCACTACTGCAACTGCACAAACTGGCTGGTCACCGAAAAAAAAAAAAATGACTCCCACTTGTGTGATTTCTTTGAGACTCTTTACCTGAATGAGCAGGTGAAATCCATCAAAGAATGCGTGACCATGTAGCCAACTTGCACAAGACTGGGTGGCGGGGGGCGCATATCTGGCACAGCAAGGCACCTCTGTGACAAGCATACCCTCAATAGTCAGGACTACGTAACTGTGACCTGACCAGATTCTCTATGCCCAGTACTGGGGTTCATGAAGATAAAGATGGGAGCTAGGATGGGTTGAAACCGAGAACAAGTTAATTTGGGACCTGTGGAGTAAAGGTTGAGTTCTGCAGAGACTGCAAGAGAAAGACTGCAAAGATGATTACAGCATAGGTAGAAAATGGGATTGCTGCTAGCTTTCCAGTTCCTGACTGCACGCAGCTCGCCTCTTGGGATGCCATCCCTGCCTTTGGGGCTACAGCCTTTTAACAAATTAACTTTTGTTCAGTGCTCTACTAAGGGCAGGGTGGTAGAAGAGATCCAGGCTGGGTAAAGACAATAAAGGGATGAATTGTCCATTTAGACTCATGGTGATAACAAAACAGCAGACTGACTTTTAGTGAACTGTATTGCTTTAATTCTCTGAACCTGCTCTCCGCCATACACCACTGCTCTTTTTCACATGAGTTAGTCAAATTCTAGTTCTGTTAGACAACCAAAGTACCCAAAATAAGGACCTTGATCCAACAACCTAAAGAGAAAACAGTAAAGGAAATCAGAATTGATTTCTGAAATTAACAGCAATTATTAATTCAAGTAAAGAAAAATTCCTTTTTTAAATTAAAAAAAAAAAAGGTATACAGAACTTTTTAAATTCTAAGATTCCTGCCTTTGTTTAAGGGAAACAAGCTGATGTGGGTCACTAAATGAACAATCACAGTGCAGCCCGAATCATTAGCATTAAGCTTAAATCCCTTAGAGAGATTCCCAAATCTTAAGCTTCTGGACCTCAATATCCTGTATACAAAATCTTTTAGAAACTGCAACTGAAACGTTAAAGGCACTTTAGGAAGGCTTACAGGAAAAAATGTGCACATGCACCACTGTAATATGGCAGACACAAGTTTAAAATGCAGGTTGGTCCACAAAGATGAGTTATGATTCATGTAGTTGACTGGCCACTCTCAGAATTTCAAAGATTCTTATCTGAATCAATATTTGCATGTGAAAGTAACTTGTGGGCCTCCCTGGTGGCGCAAGGGATTAAGCACCACAAGATGAAGCAATCCACAGCCTCTGCAGCACGAGTTCCATCCCCAGCTGGCAGGGGGGCAAAGCCAACCTCTCCTGACTCCACCACTGCAGTGTATTTCAGTGGATCTGCCCGTTCTGTTTCCCACTCTGTCGCTGGTGAATCCTCTCACTCCTCGCATCTCTGGCCTGTACCCCAGCTCTTGTATGCATAAATAAATAAATATTTTTTTAAAAAAAGGAAAGTAACTTGTACTTGATATGATCACATTCTCTGAATATAAATAGAAAGGTCCACTAGGACTGTGCCAACTTTGAGATTTGTGATCACAGTAACAATTCGAATTTACAGCATTTTTGATTGATAAATCAGTCTCTGTTCAACGAATTTTTACAGAGCACTTTCAAAGTGCAAGGCATATTCTAGGCAACAAGGATATATACAATGGTGAATACAGCACACGGGCTCTGAATTCTCAGAGTCAAAAGCAAAGGAATCCAAGAAACAAGTGATTTCGACAACGTGCAACACAGGATAATTTCCAGTAGTAATTATGGAGCAGGGGATATCTAACTTAGGCTTCAAAGGGAGAGTAAGCGTCAGCTAGAAACTGCAAGTAGGATGGGGAGAGGGGACCAGTCAAATACAATAGCTGATGCAGAAGGCCTAAGGACAAGATTCACCACCGAAAAACAGAAAGTGGGTTCAGTATGAGGGAAGGCAGTGATGAGGTTGGAGAGCTAAGCAGGGTTGAGTCAAGAAGGGCCACAGAAACCACAACAGACCCCTGTTATTCCATCTGGGGTAAAATTCATTTAAAATAATTTCCTACAAAACCAAAAAGCATCACCAAGTTTAACCTCACTTCTCACCAAAAAAACCTGTACTGCTGTTATGTTAAAGGTATTCAAATATTCACGATAGCAAAACACAGCAAAAATATATACTTCAGAATAGCTTTTGCAAAAACATTGTGACTGTAAGACACCACTTATCTCTATGTCAAGACACTCCTTACAAGGGAATAAGGCAACGTGGGAGGAAAGACATCAACAGGGTCCAAGTCCCCATAAGAGTCCACCAAACTTATAAAATACCGTAAAACCAGAACTTTATATCCAAATCAAACCCTTTCTGTGCTATGATGAAATATGCCTCTTAAGAGCATGCACTCAGAAGACAAACTAACACAAACACACTTAAATCGTTGTCAAAAAAATCACCTTATTTGAGGATTTTTTTTTTAGGGTGTGGGGTATTCCTCCCAACTAAATGTTCTGATTTTCTGCATTACCCAAATCTGAACTTTCTAAGTATCAGTAGCTGGAACTTCATCCTTTAAGCACCACACTTGTAACTTTCAAAGAATCTCCCCTATGAAGTCTCGATACACCTGCAACCTCCTAAACCAACGGTGCACTTTAATCTTGACATTTGGGGTCCTGTTCTGGGTCCCAATGACAGGTGCCAAGAGTCACTCTGAACCTCAAATAGCAGGATGCAGTGCGGGGATATCTACACCTTCCTCAAGGCACTCTTGCTAAGTACTTAGTGATTTCTTTCCTCCTTTAAAAAATAGTCTAATTTTCCTCCTTGTCTGGTTGGCAGTGTTCACGGAGGACCACCTCATGCCCACGCAGGCCTTCTTCTGATTTACTGCCTCCAGCTATAACTTGGGAAACGAGATAACTAGACTAGCTCGACCAGAGGAGGGTAAATGAATGAAGAGTCGCTGGAGGAGCGCTCCCGAGTCCCTCCGACGGGACAGGCGTCTTCGCCCCGGGTCTGGGAGGCCGGGTCACCGCCGAAGCGTCCTCGATCCGGCCCCCCCAGGCTGCAGGGGCGCTGAGGCGCCTGTCCCCCCCTCGGTTACCGCCAGTCAGGGGCTGGGGGCGACGCGGCGACCCGGGGGGGGGTGGCCCCCACCACGCCCAAGTCCCGAAGGAGCCGGGCGGGCTGGGCCGCGACGGCCGGGCCGGGCCCAGGCGGGTCCGCGCCTTCCCGGCCGGCGCCTCCGGCAGCCGCGCGCCGGGGTCCGGCCGAGCCCGCGCCGCCCCGACGCCGGCGCCTCGGGGGTGCGCGCCGCCAGGAGTTGAGCCAACTTCTGCGGGGCGGCCGCGCGGCGCGCCCCGCACCCCGGAAGTTTTGAGCGCCCCGGCCGGCTCCCCGGGGGGGGCCCCCGCCCGCCCCCGCCGCCTCCCCGGGCCGCGGCCGCCCGGCGTGGGCCGCCCCGGGGCGCGGGGCCCCGGGAGCCCCGAGCGGAGCCCCAGGTCCGGCGCGGCGCCGCGTCCCGGGCCGCCCTCCGGCGGGCGGAGACGCCGCGGCCCGGCCCGGGCGGCGCGGCCCGGGGTCGGGGTCCCGGCGCCCGGCGGCGGGGCCCGCGGGGGCCGCGCGGCGGGCCCGGGGCGGGTGCGATCGGTCGGCCGCCCGCCCGCCCGCCCGGGGCGCCGCCACTCACCGAAGAAACCCTGCACGATCCCGAGCGGGTGGCTGAGCCAGTCCTCCCCGCAGGGCATCTCGCCGGCGGCCCGGGGCCGGCGCGGCCCGGCGTCCAGCGCCGCCGCCGCTCCTCGGGCTCCGCGGCTGCTCGCCCGCGCCCTCCCACGCAGGGCGAGCCGCGGCCCGCCCGGCCTCCCGCGCCTCAGGGCAGCGCGGCGCGGCGGCGGCCGCCGAGGAGCTGCGGGCGACCGGCCGGCGGCGCGTGCGGGCCCCCAGCCTCCACTTCGCACAATGGCGGGAAACAGGCGCCGCCGACCGCGCTGCCGGCGACCTGGGTGGAGCTCGCGCGGGGAGGGGCGGCGGGAGCGCGCGGCGCGGCCCCGGCGGGGGAGGCGGGGCGGGGCGGGGCGGGGGGCGGGCGGCGGGCGGGGCGGGCCGGCCGCCATCTTGGAGACGGGCACGGGGCGGGCGGCGCGCGAAGGGGCCCAGCCCGGAACCCCGCGTGTTCGCGTCCGGGGCCCGGGTTCGGGCCGCGGCCAGCCCCGGGGGGCGTCCCGGGCGCCTCAGGGCAGCCCCCCTGGGTGTCCGCCCGCCTGCCCCTTGTGCCTTCAGTGCTGGTGGCAGCTTCTCTCGGGCTCTGGCCCAGGCCCTCCGGGCCGAGGCGCCCTGTAGATGGGGGAGCCCCGGGGGCGCCCCAGCTCCCTTCAGGGCCTGTTCCTGGCGGACGGGCCGGCGCTCAACACGGCCCTGCCCTGCCTCAGACCCCCGCCGGGGCGGGGGGTGGGGCCGAGGCCGTGTGCACCCCCATGGCCTCAACATGAACGTGGCGGCCTCGGCACTTACACAAGACCCACTCTGCGGCCGCCTTTTGCTGGGAAATTTGGAAAATATCCCAGTTCAGTAACGAGACAGCCCGACTCCCCTAGGCCTAGACTGTACCTGAGAAAACCCCAGTCCCCACCGAAAATAGGGCGAGTTCAGGGAAGGGGGATCTGGATAATCTGCAGAAGAGCTGAACTCAGCCCAAACGGGCCTGAGGGCTAACGAGGTTGGTTTGTATTTCTCCCTGGGAACCTGTTAGTTAGCACACCGGATTGCACATTTGCTCTAGTGCGTTATGGTGAGGTGAGCAAACTGGGTTTCAAGTCCAGGGCATGACCATCACTTCGTTCGTTCATTCATTCACTCACTCTGCAAAAGCAGTTGCCAAGGCCCCGGGATTGAATGTAAAAATTCCATATGTGAGCTTCGTGGCCAGTAAAATGCAAATTAAATGTTCGACAAGAAACTATCTGTTTTAAATCATGACAGTCTCAGATATTTTTATTTAAATTGCAGCTTGATTCAGGTTCAGCGGTGACTCAACAGCTCAGCTTGGTCTGTACCTCTGCATTTAGTGGTTTACAAGCAACTGCAGAAGAGCGCAGTGCTCCTTCTAAAAGGTAATTATTTGATAATGTGAATAATTTCACACCCATTGACACTACTTGAGACATTTTGATACTACTAAGTAGTTACGAAATGTACAAGGCCAGAGGAGGGTTGGGGAGGGTACATCTCTAGGACAAGATTATTTTCCCCACTGTAAGTAACCACACTCACCCCCCACCCCCAATCTGTTTTTAAGGAGAACATTAAGTAATCCTGCCTGTGGTGGAGGAAGGACATACCATCCTTGCTTTCCTGGACAGTATAATAGGAGACTTATTACTAAGCAATTGTTCATTTACAACCATGATAGGAGTCAGGCAAAGAGAAGTGAAATTTTCTAGAGAAATAGCAGCTTCATGTATTCCAGTAAGGGAGAGAGCTTTGTAGGGGGAGTGAGGAGGAAGCTTCCTTGAAATGTGTCATTTCTACTAGACCTTGAAAGATGAACAAGAGTTAGGCAAAAAGTGTGAGGAAAACTGCTCCAAGCCTTAAAACTAAGAAAATCAAAACTTATATTGAAACATTAAAATAATCACAATTCATTTCACAACTTAGCTGTTAAGAGAGTTGGAAAAATCATAATAATGTTAAAATTTGACTATCAACCTAATGAATGGTTTAATTTAATTTTATTAGAAAACTAGGGGGATGAGAAGGCTACATATATGTGATAATGACAAAGAAGATCAAAAAGAGCAAAATACCTATCCTCCAGGACCTCCCTGCTGGCTCAGAGGGTTAAGACGCAACCTATGAAGCTGTCTGCAGCCACTGCAGCATGAGTTCGATCCCTGGCCAGGGAGCTAACTTACATGGCGCAGCAGACCTCTCATGTCTCACCCACTGCTCCCCTCAGCAGTGTGTTTCAGTTAGTCTGATGTTCTGTTCCCCGCTCTGTCTTTGGTGAATCCTCTTCCCCCCTCCCCATCTCTGGCCTGTACCCCAGCTCTTGTGTGCATAAATAAATAAATCTTTAAAAAAAAAAAAAAGAATAGGTGGATCTACTGAAATACACTGCTGAGGGGAGCATGGGCGAGACAGGAGAGGTCTGCTGTGTCATGTGGGTCAGCTCCCCGACTAGGGATAGAACTCATGTTGCAGTGGCTGTTGATAGGTTCGTAACTCTGAGACTTTAACCCTTGTACCACCAGGGAAGCCCAAGACAGACAGGATTTTTATGTGAATTTTGCTTTATGAAGTCTCTTTGTCACAACTGCTAGCATTATTCTAAGTAATTCAGAAGTTGGTGTCAGAAATGGGATGGGAGCATAACAAACAGAAACAAGCTGTATCAGTTAAACCACCACCAAGTTCCCCCTGACCACCCAATCACCTATGACAGAGAAGACAAAAGCACTCTTAAGTTCTCTTTGGATGTCAAGGCCAATAAGCACCAGATCAAACAGGCTCAGAACAAGCCCTATGACATTGATACAGCCAAGGTCAGCACCTCCCTCAGACCTGATGGAGAGAAGAAGGCTCATGTTCCACTGGCTCCAGACTGATACTTCAGATGTTACCAACAAAATTAGGGTCCTCTAAATTGAGTTCAGCTGGCAGACTCTAAATATTCATTTTTTCACCATAATAATATTGAGGTCTCTTAAAACAAGTGAGTCATTGAGGAAGGGGGTCTTATGTTGAGGAAGGCAGGTCTTATGTTGGAATGTGCAAGAGCAAAGTGGTCCTTAGCTGTTAACCCTTTCTTGGAATACAAAAGGGAGGAAGAGGGCCTCCCCTGGTGGTGCAGCAGTTGAGCGCTGGGCTGCGAGGCTGGCTGCCTGCAGTCTCTGCAGCGCAGGTTCATTCCCTGGCCACTGGCGAGGGTCCCACAAAACAAAAAACAAAAAAGGGAGGAAGAATTTCTTTACTCTCCCAGTGATCTAAAGAGTGAAGGAGGGTGGGCCTCCCTGGTGGTGCAAGCAGTTAAGCACCGCACTGTGAAGCAATCCGCAGCCTCTGCAGCACGAGTTCGATCCTCTGCCGGCCAGGGAACAACCCCCATGGTGCAGCAGACCTTTCCTGTCTCGCCCGCTGCTCCCCACAGCAGTATATTTCAGTCAGTCTGCCTGTTCTGTTTCCCACTCTGTCTCTGGTGAATCCTCTCACCCTCCACATCTCTGGCCTGTACTCCAGTTCTTGTATGCATAAATAAATCTTTAAAAAAAAAAAAAGTGAAGGGGGGGTGGGGAGGGCAACAAACAGGCAAGTGGGCCTTCATTGACCAAGTGCTGACCTTTCTGGTCAATTGCAGCAAAGGCTGTGAATCACAATCCTATTGTTAAATCTGGTCTGACCATTGTTTGTGACAATCATGATTGCTTAAGGATGGGGCTACTTCTTGAGAAATGTGTTATTGGGCAATTTTGTTACCTTGTGAACATCAGAGTGTACAAGCTTTATGCATTGGTCACGATTGTCATCCAGATGTGCTTCCATGTCTGACCTTCAATCCAGGTCATGAGAAGTTTCTCTATATCTGATATAATCTCTTCTCAAATTTTTGTTAATTTCCTTGCTTTCAATTAAGTTGGTTCTTCAATGGTTCCTGTCACTTTGTTCTTGTTCTTCAAGGTCACAGCTGGGCCAGATGGGGTCTGCCTAACTGGTGAATAGTGACCTTTGCCAGTCTCCACTTCTGCAGTTTTCTAAAGCTCTACATTTGATTTCCAGGTCAGACGTTCTATATAGACTTACTGGCATCTACCCAGGGGCCATGGGGAGCAAAGCATGAGATTTATCAAGCACAAGGGGAGATGATGCTATCAAGAGACATGAATATGAGATATATGAGGCCACTGGTGTAAAACTATTGATATGAGGATGTTACAAGAGCTACCGATCAGTAGGCGGTAGGGATTTGGGGGACTCCATTGGATTTGCAGTCTGTTATTGACAGAAATGTGGCACATGACTGTATTTGGTCTCTCAGAAATGTAGTGGAAGCCATGTATGTAATTTAAAAACTTTCATTTTTATTTTTTAAAATTTTTATTTATTTATGCATATAAGAACTGGGGTACTGCCAGAGGTGCAAGGGGTGAGAAGATTCTCCAGAGACAGAGTGGGGGTTAGAACAGGCAGACTGACTGAAACACACTGCTGAGGGGAGCAGTGGGTGAGGCAGGAGAGGTCTGCTGCACCATGTTGGTCAGCTCCCTGATAGGGATCGAACTCGCGCTGCAGGGGCTGCAGATAGCTTCATAGTGCTGTGCTTAACCCCTTGCACCACCAAGGAGGCACCAGTTCTCATTAATGGGAGGTGAACATTAGAGGCTTATGAAGATGAGACATTTGTGCCAGAACAGTTGTGACCCCTCCCTTCCCTCTTGACTGGCACCAACCAGATCCAGTGGAAACCCTTTGCTGCAGACAAACTGGCCCCAACAAGTATCCTTACACAAGGGAGTGATGAGCTTTATTCTGTTTGAGTCATTGCATTTTAGGCCTCTGGTACTTTCCTTAGATGTCACATTTCTTAGGTGCCACATGGGATGACTTTCTTAGCTTATTCCTTTACCTGGGGGAGCACTCCTCCTTAGCAGGTGTGTTTGAGAGGTAAATGATTTGGGAGCTGAATTCCTTTGCATTTGACTTCTTTTTAGCCTTCTGGGCTTTAAGGATCTTTTCTTTGACTCCAGAGCTCTGGTGTGTGTCTATTCTCAA